TGCTTTAAGATGGAAGGACTTCCAACTCCCAGAATCCCCTAGCCAGCTTGCTTTAAGATGGAAGGACTTCAACTCTGGGGAATTCTGGGAGTTGCAGTCCACCCATCTTAAAGTTGCCAAGCTTGAGACACACACAACAAAGCTTCCTCAGCAGGACCAGGCCTTTAAATCTCTCACAGGTGCCTTTATCCAGCAAGCAGGAACTGAAAGCTGCTAACAATTAAAACCCAATTTAAGAGAAGTGAAAGAGGAAGGACAGACTGCAACAATGGTGTGGAAAAAAAAAACAGCCCTATCTGGCAAGGGTAGTCATATGCAGATGAAAAAAAGGGAACTTTTAAGGCCAAAAAAAAATATATGGGAATAATTTCCCACTTTTAATCACTAAGAAAATTGCTGGGGCTTTTTCTGATGGTGCAGAAGTGATCAGCTGAGGGACCACCTAGTATTTTTGCACATTAAAAAAAATGAAAACAAACCAGGTGTTTTTCTGCTCACTGCAAAGCCACTGTAAATAATAGTTAAAGTATTAATCGGAGCCCAGGAAAATCCCTGTTTAATTGCTCTACTGCAATTAAACAGGAGCTTCCTTATTTTTATATCTTTTCTTTTCTCACTTTCACCCCACCACCTTAATTTTTTTAAATAAACTTTTTAGTAGAACAGCCATCAGGAGGGAGGTAGTCCTCGACTTATGACTACAAACTGAGCCCAGAAGGTAGGGTGTGTGTATTTACGACGGTTGCTATGCCCCTCTTTTACAACCTTCTGACAAGTTGACTCCGGATTCCCCCCCATTGACTTTAATGATCAGAAGTTTGCACCCAAACAGATCAGCGAAATGCTAGAGATGTAACCATAAGCAAGGAACTCACTTTCACACGTGGTGGACCTGTCCCAAAGCTAGGAAATACTTGCGAAAAGTAAAGAATTGGTTAGAAGAAATTACTAAACAAAAAATTGAGATGAAACCAGAACTAGTTTTATTGGGCATACTAAAACAAAATATATGCAAAAAAAAAATGCAATATATTATGATAGATATAATAAGAGCAGCCAAAATTGCCTTCGCTCAAAACTGGAAACAAGATGACACTCCCTTAGACGTAATGGTAATATACGGAAAGTTCTTGAGTGTGCAGAGATGAATAGGTTAACTAAGGAGTTAAAAGATAGAGAAGAAACGGAATACTGTAAGATCTGGAATGTATGGTACCAGTGGTTAGAGAACAGACATAAAGTTGTTACATGAACAGCTAACAGATCATAGATAATCAGAGTTGGAAGGGACTTTGTAGGTCATCTAGTCCACCCCCCTGCCCAAGCGGGAGACCCTACACCATTTCTGACAAATGGCAGTCCAATCTCTTCTTGAAAGTCTCAAGTGATGGTGCTCCCACAACTTCTGAGGGCAACTTCTATTCCATGGGTTGATTGTTTGCCCTGTCAGAAAGTTTCTCCTTATTTCCAGGTTAAATCTCTCCTTGATCAGTTTCCATCCATTATTCCTTGTCTGGCCTTCGGGGTTTTTAGAAAATAGCTTGACCCCCTTCCTCCTCCTCTCTGGGGCAGCCTCTCAAATATTAGAAGATGCTCTCCTGTCTCCCCTGGTCCTTCTCTTCCCTAGACTAGCCAGGCCCAGTTCCTGCAACTGTCCATTGTATGTTTTAGCCTCCAGTCCCCTCATCCTCCTGGTTGCTCTTCTCCATACTTTTTCTAGAGTCTCAACCTCTTTTTTATAGTGTGGTGACCAAAACTGGATGCAGGACTCTAGGTGTGGCCTTACTAAGGCTTTATAGAGTTATATTAGTACCTCCCTTGATCGCGATTGAATCCTTCTGTTAATGCAATTAGGATTGCATTGGCTTTTTTGGCTGCTGCTGCACACGGCTGGCTCCTATTTAGCTGGTTGTCCATTAAGACTCCGAGATCCCTCTCCCAGTTCCTGCTATTGAGCCTGGTTTGACCCAGTCTATATGTGTCTTTTGGGTTTTTCTTGCCTAAGTGTAGGACTTTACTTTTCTCTACATTGAATTTCATTATTTTGTTAGATACGGCCCAGGGTTCTAATCTGTCAAGATCCATGTGGATCTTGAGCCTATCTTCTTGGGTATATAGGAGATATAGTAAAATGGGAAAGTATTGTATATATATTTGTAAATATTGTTATAAGTTAAAAGTAGGAAAAAAAACTATATAACATAGTAGAATAGTAACAATATGTCAATATGAGTGAATACCGTAACCTGAATGCTGTAATGAGTGTAAATGTGTTTTAATTTGAAATGTGACTAATAAAAATTTACTTTGAAAA